TCAGAGAAGGACAACTTGGCTGGATGCGCCTTTGTCTGTCCCTCTTTAAAATTAACATCTAAATTTAAAATTTCAAATCATGCCTCAATTTTTTCTCTTGAAGCTTTTGCAATCTTATTTACTTTAGACTTCATTATTAATTCAGATCTTCCCAATACTGTTATTTTTTCAGATTCCCTTAGTGTTCTTAAAAACCTAGCTTCCAAAAACATTTACAAAATTAAATCTTATATAATTTTTGCTATTAGAAATCGCTTAAAAGTTCTTTCCAACTTAAATCGCCCAACATCACTCGTTTGGATCCCTGGTCACTCAGGAATTGACGGAAACGAGGAAGTAGACAGAGCAGCCAAGGATGCATCCACCAGTCCTCCTCAATTAAACATACCTCTCGCTTTTTCCGACTTTTTCGGTCTCGCTCGCAAACAGCTATCTGATAGCTGCATTTCATACTTTCAGGATGTAGGTAAGAACAAAGGTGCTAAATACACACAATGTTTCTACCAACCCAGAAAGAAACCATGGTTTGCGAATTTTGTGGCTCGTAGACTTTGGATCACTTTTATTTGTCGCGCAAGAAGTAATCACTACAATCTTAACGCCAGCCTCGCCAGAAAGAATTATATAAAATCCGGCGACTGCCCACACTGCCCCAATATCGATGAAGACCTAGATCACATACTCTGGTCTTGTCCCAGATTTAATTCTTTTCGTCCAGATTTAATTAAAGCTCTTTCAAGAGCTTTAAAATGCCCCCCTCCATTTTGCAGTGTACAATTTCTCACTAACCCTAATCCTAGGGTCGTCTCTCATGTTTTTAGATTTTTGAAACGAGCTAATATCAAAATATAATCATCTATTTACTTTTTATAATCTCGCACTTTTATTTAAATTAAACATTCATCTACTCAAATTCCATTGGTTCATCGGGATGCAGACTGGGTGCTGCAATTGGCTCCCTAACTGCGTTCTCGTGCGCGTGCGCGCCATTCGCGCAGACAAACTTCACTCGTTCACGGGCTTTAAGCCTTATTCACTAGTCACCATGTCATGGCTGGATATACACGGCGCAACGCCAGTATAAATGCCAACGTCAAACTTTACAATTACAATTTATTAACAACATTCCATGTTTACAGTAACCTCCCAGCAAGAAGTCGTGCTATGTGGGTACAATATTGAATTCAAAATATATATTATAATGTAAGGAATAGAAATTAAGGAGATAAATACCCGCTTGTTTGTATCGTCTCAATTGAAGTTGTGAACGAATTTCCTTGATTATATCTCATTATCCGAGGATAGTTTCATATATTTCCTGATGGTATAAATGATGAATTTAAAATTCCATGGTCATTAATTTTGTTATATTTTGGGCCTTCCAAATACATCCTCTGTACAGTCAGCACACTCAGACATCTATTTCTTTACTTAAAACATATTACTCCAGTTTACAATCACTTCCTGATCACATTCACCGGGACCCAGTTTCCAATCTTCCCCCACAGCAGCCAATCTTTTCTAAAAATTTCGTAAAGATTTCCTTGAAATCTTGGGAATATTTAATTGAAAAGTTTAATGAAAATTGCATAAAGATTTAAATGTCCCACCAAAATAAATATTTGGCGTAAAAGTTGACTAAAAATTTAAAATGAAATTTTCAGGAAATGTTCGTCGCGAAAATTGAATAAAAATTTAAATGAAATTTTTAGGAAATGTTTGTCGCAAAAATTGAGTAAAAGTTTCAATGAAATTTTCAGGAAATGTTCGTCGCAAAAATTTAAATGAAATTTTCAGGAAATGTTGGACGGAAATAACTGTAAAAAATACAAAAATAATATTTAAGAAGTATTAATATTATTATTATTAATAATAATAATAGATAGATAGATAGATAGATCTTTATTATTATTATCAATAAAAAAATAAATAAATAAAAAAAATTTTCAAAAGTTCTTGCTCAATTAAGCATGCAGTGCTTGATTCAATGTGAAACAAAGCATTAAAGCAGAGCAACAATGTTTGTATATTATTTATTTTATTTTTATTCCCAGATAGTAAATTTTTTTTATTGATAATAATAATAAAGATCTATCTATATATCTATCTATTATTATTATTAATAATAATAATATTAATACTTCTTAAATATTATTTTTGTATTTTTTACAGTTATTTCCGTCCAACATTTCCTGAAAATTTCATTTAAATTTTTGCGACGAACATTTCCTGAAAATTTCATTGAAACTTTTACTCAATTTTTGCGACAAAAATTTCCTAAAAATTTCATTTAAATTTTTACTCAATTTTCGCGACGAACATTTCCTGAAAATTTTATTTTAAATTTTTAGTAATTCAGTAGCGACCGCCACCACAATGTTTACAAATAAAATTTTATTTATGACATTTTAATATGACTGACAAATTCGGTTGTGTTTACCCCTCTTTTTTTTACAAATCGTGAAATATCGTCGTTGATGTCAACATTATTAATTTTTCATAGTGTTTTTATGATTTAAAAAAAATTTTTAATCATGTGGACTTAGAAGAAATCGAAATCATGCAGTCAAACCACGTGCTAAATGTGCCAATATAACTTCAGCCAAAACATCGGCTAAACGTGGTAAGGTAAGATAATCTTTGTCATCTGATGAGAATGTGAACTTTTGCATTTTTTGCTGGGAGCTCATACCACAATGCAGGATTGCTACAGGACCTGGAAAACTTTTAAAAGTCAGGGATTTTGAAATTTATGGATTTTATGGAATTTTTCCAAATTGATGGAATTAACGTTAGGCAATCGCAGAAATAAAATATTGTTGTTTTACCTGGACAACATTTTTTTCACGAAAATCTGGAATAAATTATTGATCCAAGAAAATACATTTCGATAACTGAAACTACACCCAATTTCCTTGGAGCAATGCTTTTTCAAGGAGATGATTCGAAAAATTTCAATTTGGCCTACTTAATCAGTAGAAGAGTATCCGATGTGGAATCGCGTTACCACTCAAGTAAATTTAAGCTGCAAGCTATAGTTTGGGCATGTGAGCGCCTTCGGAATTTTTGTTGTCCATGCAGTACATAATTATAACGGACTGTCAGGCATTGATATTTTTAAATTCTTCTAGTACAAAATATTCTCAAGTTGCGCGTTAGGCAAACTCGCTGAGTGAGTATAACTTCGAGATGAGACACAGAAAGGAGGAACATATGCAGCATGTCGACGCTCTTTCGAGAGCTCCCATTTAGGATCAAGAGCCAAACAAAAGTTGCACGTTATGCCTGCAGCAATGAGAAAGGGCCTCACTATCCGCTATCACAATCTCAGTAGTTACTTGGGCATCGACAAGGTTCTCACGAAGAAGCAGCGTTACTACTATTTTCCGAACATGAAATCTTACATCAAGGGACATATTTTGAGGTGCTTGCCGTACATAATAAGTAAAAAGCCAAGAGGACGTTAACCTGGAGAGTTGCATCCTATCCCCCCCCTCACAGCACCAAAATTTTTCTAAAGATTTATTTGAAATGTTCGGAATATTTCAGTGCAAAGTTTAGTGAAAATTGTGTAAAGATTTAAATGTCCCACTTGAATAAATGTTTAGCGCGAAACTTTCCTGAACATTTATTTAATCGGGACACTTAAATCTTTACACAATTTTCACTAAACTTTGCAATTACATATTCCGAACATTTCAAATAAATCTTTAGAAAAGGTTCGGTGCTCTGGGGTCCATCAGGATGACGCCTCTTGGCTATGGTTCACATGGATCCGTTTCCTTCAAGCGGTCGAGGAAACAAATCGAGGAACTAGTTTGACCTCCGAAAAATTTCGTGAGTTTTTACAAAAACACGGAATAAAACTAACATTTAATTCAAGCCGCCATCCACTAGCTAACGGGCAAGCGGAACATAAGAAAGAAAGATTGGGAGAAACAAAACGCACGGGACATTAATTCGTCAGTAAATAAAACTACGGGTGAAACTCCCTGCGAGACTCTACACACTTGTCTTCCGCGTTTCGTACAGGGGACTATGCGTGAATTTACCGCGATTTGTGAAACCTATCAATATCCGAGAATCCTTCAATAAAAAAATTTTGCGTTGAAATTGAAAAATCTTAATTGAAATACAAAGAACGGTACGACGAACATCGAAACGTGAATATTACGTATAGATTAGGTGATATTGTTTACATTAGTGTAAATCCAGTTCACACAGGCGAGAGCACGAAGTTACAGTCTCGTTATCGCGGTTCTTTTATTATCGTGAGAAATATCCCTGGCGATGCCTACCCAATCAGCACGAAAACTTGCAAGAAGCTTGCCGTGCAAGATTGCAGTGTTAACATGTAGCAAGTTTGGTGCAAGCAACAAAATGTCCTCTTGTGGCAAGCTTGCAGGGCAACGTTGGCGCAAGGTTGATGCAAGTTTACAAAACTTAATACCACCCTACTGAAAATCCCTGTACAAGATCTTGTACAATTTCCTGTACAGGATCAGCAACTGAACTTGTACAAGTTCCGACCAGTTCCTGTACAGGAAAATGCATACGAATTTGGAACAAGTTCATGTGTGAGATCTTGTACAAAAAAGATACTTGTACAAGAAAATGTACATACATGATCTTGTACAATTTCATGTATAAGTACTTGTACATGAACACGTCCATGTTCTTGCACATGTTAATTCATGTTTTTCTTTACTAAAAATTAAAAACTTCAAAGGCTGCGCAATAGTTTACTTTAACCTTTACAGCTGCGCAATAGTTTTTAGCATGCATGAGTCTTAGTGGTTAAAAATTATCAAAATCTCAAATTTTATTAAAAAAAAAATTTTACAACTATACATGTGCAAGAACATGAACGTGTTCATGTACAAGTACCATAAGAAACCTACATTTATCAGGATTGTTTTAGAAATATATTAGTCATTTTTACTAGGGATATATTATTATTATTATTTCTCCAATTTGGAAAAATAACTGAAGACAGTAAAGAGCCAGAAATATTGATTTATTGATATTAATACATTCAAAAAATACAAATTGTAAAAAGTAAACTCTTCATTAGAATAGACTTATGATGATAATGATGTTTTATTTGTAATTTTAAAAGTCTATTTATTTATTTTTCTTACAGGATGAATAGGATGATCCATATGTGAAAGATCAGGTGGATTTTTTTCAAACGCAGCAATTTCACGTAATCCATCGGCAGCTATTTCCCATAAATCAGGATGTTTTATTTTGAAATTTTCATACCATTTTTCAACTAAAGGCCAAGGCGTTAGTTTAAAATCTATTGCTTCCAAACACATTGTGGCCGTAATCAAAGGAAAATCAGCAATTGTCAAGTTATCTTCAGAAAATATAAACAAAATTATTTTATAATAATTATTACTTTCTCTTAAGAAAATAGGAGGTATAATAGATGCATAATACAGTTTGTGAACAAAATATTTTTTTAAAAGGAAAGTTAATACAAAGGGGTTTAAAATGGACGCAAGATAAAAGATGTTTATGTGAATATTGTGAATTGACACAGAAAAGAAAGCATGGATATAGTGAATATAAGAAGTTAGCCAAAGAGGTGAATTAATTTTTAATGGTTTTACCTCCTGCAGAATAAGTTGACTTCAAAGTTTTCATATAGGTTTCAAAAACGTCTAAAGACATATTAACTTTTTTCAATCCTAACGATGTTCGTTCATAATCAAAAAATATAGGTGCCATCTGCAAAAAAAATTATTATTTTTACTGAAGCATTTTGACATGTTTAATTAATTAAACAAAAAATAAAGAACTTATATGTTGATCGCCTACGAAGAAGGAAGAAATTAAGAAAAATTGAGAATTTGTAATTCTTCTAAATATATATCTATTCAATTCTTTTGTATCCATTATTATTGAAGTAATTTAAAATAAGCTCAATTCAATATTATTTGCAATGCCGTTTTAAAATTTGATGCAGAAAAAACACTTTAAATTGAACTTACAACATATTCTGAAATATTGCGATAGTACATAGCCAAATTGAAACAAAGGCGATGATTTACCACTGCTCGCGCTTTTGGATCTTTAGGATAGAGAGATCCCGATTTGTCATACATATCACAAAGGTATTGTAAAATAGCATTGCTGTAAAAAATAAAAATTTATTGTTTTAATTACTTTTAATTTTAATAGATATTAAATAAAATGAATGTTAGTTTTTACAGTAATGTTATAAGACATGAAAAGAGGCTTAAAAACTGTTCTCAGCTTAATTCTAAGATCCTCTATTAAAATGTATAAATTAAAAAGAATTATAAATGCCGGTCAATTCTCTACTATCTTAATTATTTAAAGGCACAGGCTTTTTTTGCCTGTGCGCAAAATGCACAAATTTTTCAAAGGAAGTCTGTTGAATATTGAAAATAGAGTAATTTAATGTACCTTTCTCCCATTACAGTTTCACCATCCACAAGTACGGGAATTTCTTTCTGTGGATTTAACTAGAAAAAAAGAAACACGAATTAATTTAAAAATACATTAATGGAATTTTACTGATTTTTATATTTTCACATATTTCAATAAGTGGTTATAATATCCCAGATAGCAAGCAAGTCTGCTGCCAACTTGCATTGCAAGTTTTGCAAATTTGCTTTGCAAGCTTGCTGCAAGTTTGCATCCGTATATTTTGCAAAACTAAAAAACGATGCGCAGTTCAATTCTATAATATATAGGGCTGCGCAGTACATTCTTTTTACCTTCCAGCTATGGTCCCAAATACATATTAAAGGGAATTTGTATCTAAAATTAAATTAATAATTAATTAATTAATAAATTGAATAATAAATTAATAATAGTTTCCAGCTAGCTTGCAGCAAACTTGCAGAAGACTTGCATCAAACTTGCAAAAAACTTGCAGAAGACTTTCAGCAAACTTGCACTGCAAGCTTGCAGAAAACTAGCTTCAAGCTTGCTGCAAGTCTTCTGCAAGTTTGCCGCAAGCTTGCATTCCAATTTGCCAAGGGTAGGACATTGCAAGCTTGCAGCAAACTTGCAATGCAAGTCGGCTGCAAGTTGGCAGGAGACTTGCGTGCTATCTGGGATGGTTATAACTTATTCAAAATAAGAGAGTGAGTATTATTAAATAATTAAAGATTTTGGGAAAAAATAGTAGTAGAAATAATTTTTACTACTCAATTCCAGATTAACTCTTAAAGGTGATACTGCGTTCCTTTATCTGTAATAAGTAGTGTAACATACCTTTGCATATTCGTCAGTCATATGTTCTCCTTTTCCGTAATTGACATCAACAAGTATATAATCTATATTTAAAGCTTTTAAAGCTTGCCTACATGCCAAAGAAGGTGGACCGTCAGAAACCGAATATAATTTCATTGTGATTTGGAATCTACAAATTTAGGAATTTATTAAAAATATATATATTTTTTAATAATTTTACGATTTCATAGAGAATGCTTTTAATTTAAATGAAATTTTCTAATTTTCAAAATAATTTTATTGTAAAATTACAGTACAAGACTTATTTTGTTAAGTTTTATATTGTTTAAAATTTAAATCACATAATTTAATTAATTTCACTCCTCCTGAATAATATGGTATTCACAAAAATAAAATTTTTTATTTACATACCAAATAATATTCACAATATTTTTAGTCTTGAACAAAATGTAAACCCCCTTTGAAAATTAAAATTTACTTTTTAAATAAATAATTAAAAATTTTTAAGAAAAATTTAATATTTTTCAAACAAAAAACATTGGAATTATTTTTTTTGTGTTAACAACTAACAATATAATTACAGTTATAATAACAATATAACATTTATAATCAATATTATAATCTGTCGAAAAAATTACAATAATATAGTAATGCAAATATGTCAAAAATGATTTATCATGTTAAAATTTTGCATACTTTTTTAGGACCCTATTTACTAATTGTAAACAAAAATAGAGAAAAATATAAAATTTTACCTTTAATTTCAAATAAATTTCTTTTTATAATAAAAACTTTTTTTCAGAATAAACTGATCGACTGAATTATAATACTTGCTCTGAGAATGAAAATATTTTATAGAGGAAAACGATACAAGAGGCAGAAAATGTGATATCTTTCCTTTCACTAGACTACCTTTCACTTGTCTTGCACACCACCTCTTCATCGACGGATCCAATAACATTTGATAAATCCCAGTAAAAAGGACACAATTTGAAAAGAATTAAAAATTTTTAATTGTTATAAAAATTGAAAAGAATTTGAGAGTAATACTAAAATCAAAAAAAGATGTAAAATTAAAAAGCATTGAGTACTATCTATATGAAAAGAAGAATTAAAAAATTTTTATAACAAATCGACACTTAGAAGATTTCAACTAAATGGGCTTCGCTTTGAATTAAGAAATTAGACACTTTTCTTTTCCCACAATTTCACTATTGCTTACTATTTTTGGAGAATATAAATTCCTTCTGAATATAATATTACTTAAATAGAAACTAACGACCGGCATTAAGCCGGCCATGAACTATTAACGCACATTTTTCTATCATCCTGGTGCAGTGCCGGCATAATACCGGCGCATTCTTATTGAGTTGATACCGGTAAAGTCAACAATGATAATTTGATAAGATTGGTACAAAAAAAATTATGAAACAATTGTGTCCTTTTTTATCATATGCATCACGTTCTATAACAACTTCTTCGGATCTACACAGAAAAAGAAATTTACTTGGTTCAGTCGGTTACTTGCTACATAAATATTTATTTGAACCAAATAATTTTTATTTGACTTAAATGAACTGTATTTGAATCACTAATTTCTGAATTTAAAATAAATAACTTAAAAGTAATGTGATAATAGTCAAGTAGCCGATTATTTGAATCAAATAAATTTTTTCAGTGTACATATTATTCTACGTTGGTCGCGTTAACACGCACTTTTTATGGTTTCCCAATATAGCGAGAACTCGAAAGTATTTTCTGACTTGTAAAAATTGACAGAATGTTAAAAAAAATGATTTTATGTCGAAAAATGACCGTTATAATTATGTATCTCTGTGGGATGAAAAAATTTACCGATCAAAATAATTTGTTTGATTTGCGAAAAGTCAACTTTTCGTTTACAGTGAGCATTGGTCTACTTTCGACTAACAGCGAAGTCGACTGTTTCATTCCTATTTTAAGGGTACAGTCAAACCATATTTTGCATATTATATATATATACACTACCGTCAGAAATTGTCGGTATAAACGACGTGCGGGCAAAGAAAAATTGCTGCTGCAATTTATTTAACATATTTTAATTTTGAAAATAAATAGAAAGTTGATTCTTGGATTGTTTTAAAGCTTATTTAATTCTGCGCCTATTGATATATAAATAATTTTTTTTATTTTGAGAGATTTTTATCTTTCAGCATAGGCAGAAAGATCCCAGTGAGCACCAGGACGTCTGAAAGACGTCTTTTTTTGTCCGCGGACATCCTGGGGACTTTGATGATAATGACATCATGGACATCATCATACCTTTGACATCGAAAGGACGTCTTTAACATGTATAATGTCGTGGCCAAAAGACGTCTAAAAGACATTCAAAATGGATGTCTAAAAGACGTCCTAAAGACTTGTTTTGGACGTCTTTAGGACATAGATGTATTTTCTTCAGAATATTTTCTAAGTTTAACACATTAATTTTATTATCTTATTTAAATTTTGACTTTTTTTGGTATTTTTTCTACACGCTTATACAGAAATCAGGAATGAAAAAATCCTCCCGGACTTGGGATCGAACCCGCGATACGCTGAGTTGAAACTCTACGCCTTAAGCGTCTGAGCCATCGGAGACAGATAAATTTCTTTACAAAGTTTGCGAATTTATTTGTCAATGAAATGAATCGAACTTAAAAAATTTCTATAAGATTTATCTTAAACAGTTTCGATGTTTACGTTGAACTTAAAAAATAAAATATAAAAGTAACTTTTAAGAAAAATTTTCCATTTTCAAAATCTGAAAACGACGTCCTTTAGACATGATAAAGACATCTTTATGAACAGACATAGAACCTTTTTTTGACGTAGGGGAGACCGAGGAGGAAAGTAACAAAAATCAGTTTTTTTATGCTAGCATTAAAAATATTTGTCGGATAAATTTGTCCAATATATTAAATGAAAGCTTGGACATTCACCTTTTAAATAAATTTTGAATTAAACATTTATAATAAATTGACAGTTCACAGTATAACTTTTACGCAAGCTCTTCATCTGTTACTTTCCTCCTCACCCCCGAGGAGGAAAGTAACAGTATAAAATTATGTAAAATTCTTTAGACTAATGACTATTATTAATTAGAAATATTTTTATTAGGAACACATAAAAGTTTAAGTACACTTTATACTTATTTGGCACATATTTGGGACATATTTAGCACATATTTCGAACATTTTATGAATTTAGCTCATTTTTTTTCTTAAAGATATTTTATGCTTACCTAGATCACAGGTTTTTCTTAAATAAATCTCTGTTATTCGTAAAATTAAATACGATTTGCTTCAATCATTAGTTAAAACATGGACAATATCGACAATAGGAGAAAAGTAGCGTGTTACTTTCCTCCTCGGTCGCTTTTTTCTTGTATGTCAACAAAAAAGTTAAAACTACACAAATGTTAAATTGTTTGTTTAAGCACAACTTAAAGACAGATAATAAGGCTACAAAATAACGAAAGGCACATTTTGAAAAACAATAAAATTAAAGAAATACGAGACTTTGAAAATTTGAACGAAAACTTACTTTTGACGTTTTTTCTGCACGTCACACCGGAATCAGACCTAACCTTTCCTGTCAGGCTCGGACATACTATGGAGGAGGAAGGGGGAACAGTGCCGACTAAAAATATGTTTGAACCATGTCTATCCGATAATTTGTTTAAAAGTTATAAGCTTTGTTACTTTCCTCCTCTGTTACTTTCCTCCTCGGTCTCCCCTACCTCAGACGTAGTATTCACATTTTTAAGATATACCATACGGGGACAAATTAAAGACATCTTTAAGACGTCCAGAAGACGTCTTTTGTCACAAGTCTAAAAGACGTCCGCAAAAAGACATCCTCAGGACGTCTTTTGAGCAAGTGTGCCCACTGGGATAGCTATTTTCATAAAATTTAAGATAGTTTAAGAAGACATTTGTACAATGTAAAAGAATATAATCTTTATTTATTATTATTGTTATAACATATGGCCACAATATTGTGTTAATATTACATGACAATAGGGTTACTTAAAATAATAATAATAAATAATAATGGATAATTTTATTGTAATAACTTCTTTTAAAAGTATATTGAATTTTTCTTTCTTTCTTTTTACAGTATTAAAAAGTTTTCTGTTAGTTCCAGAAAAGTATGTAAAAAAGGAAGTTAAAATCCTCTTACTTCTGTTCTAATAATTGCAGTCACTAAATAGGCATATCGATTTAGTTCTAATTCATAGGTCAATGTGCCGATATAATCATGAAGGGCCACACCCGTAAAAAACCTTTTTCAAGATCTTTTATACGTATATACATTTACTAGTTTTGTAGATTTATTTCTAAGAAACTATATAAACATTAAGGGGGGGAGGGGGTAAGGTTAATTCCATGAAAAAATGCATATTTTTACGAATTTTTTTGGCTATACAGAAAGAGTTAATATATTTATTAAATTTTTATATAATAGTACAACATTTGAACAGTATTTCACCAAAGTTTCATTACAAAATATTGAGAATTGATCGAGTGACAGTACATTTCCTCTGGCTCCCCAAAAAAAAATTATTTTGCGGTGTCCACTGTAACTCGCAATAGAATCATCTAAAACAAAAGAATCAAAATGGATTTGTTAAAGGAGATGTTTTTCTAGGTTTTTTTTTTATTTTTGAATTTTTTGTAGCACTTTGAAGTCAAAACCCGGCTGATTTTTTATAGAGAAAATCGGGTTTTTGGCTTCAAAGTGCTACAAAAAATTCAAAAATAAAAAAAAAACCCTCCCAGGGATCCCTAGAAAAACATCTCCTTTAACAAATCCATTTTGATTCTTTTGTTTTAGATGATTCTACAGTGAACACCGCAAAAAAACTTTTTTTTGGGGAGCCAGAGGAAATGTACTGTCACTCGATCAATTCTCAATATTTTGTAATGAAACTTTGGTGAAATACTGTTCAAATGTTGTACTATTATATAAAAATTTAATAAATATATTAACTCTTTCTGTATAGCCAAAAAAAGTTCGTAAAAATATGCATTTTTTCATGTAATTAACCTTACCCCCCCCCCTTAATGTAATATAAAGTACTTCCTTGCAAAACATAAGAATAATGTTCAAAAAAATATAAGAACTGTCTGAAAATATGAACCTATGCATTATATGCTTTAAAGACATGTGACTGTTATAGGTTAGGTAATTTCACTTTCTTCTTTGGTTTTCTCATAAAATTCTCAATGGATTGAGCTGTAATTTTGTGCTTGTTGTCAACCCTTCTGGAAGTAGAAAGATTCAAATCTTAACAGTTTAAAGGAAAAATTAGTCTTTGAATACTTTTTTAGACTCACAATCAATAATATTTTTAATCTGCTACTTCTCTAATTTAAATAGTAAATCTTTATTATGTCCATTACAAAATTGTATACATATACTTCTCCTTATCTATCCTTATGAAAATATTTCCATCTTATATTCAATTCTTATACAGTAAATTCTTCATTTTTAACCGCGACCTAATTTCTCTATTCGTTAAATATTTAAACACTTATTCATTATTACAATTTTGTTATCCTACATATTATCATTCATTTATTCTTGTTTCCAAATGAAACATCACAGAAAAAAGTTAGTGTTATTTTTGTTGCGGGTAATTTTCTCCAATGCTAAAACCCATAAGATTTAACCCAGATTTAGGATAAAATTTGTTGCCTGTTATTTTAACACCAATTCTGGTGATAAAATAACACTTTGTTTTTCCTGTCATGTCCGCCATCTTGAAATAACATAGATCAAATAAATTTCAAATAATAATACTGGTATACCCCCATGGGTCTTTACAATTTCTTCACAATCCCGGGTAGAAATTTTGTCATAGTCCAAACCTGGGCCAAATCGGGAGTTCATAAAATTGGCATGAAACGCCTTCACAGAAAAAAAGGTGGGCAAAAAGTTGTTAAGATAGAGGATAAAAGTCGTTAGGATACAGGGTAAAGGATAAATTTGTGCTGGATAAAAATTTTACTAAAATATTACTAGAAAAATGGATGTCATATTTGAGTAAACTGTCTAATTTTAATAAAAATATTAGTAATTTTACACTTAACTTATTAAATCCATAAATTTTATATAAATAACTAATTGCACGTGGAAATATTTTGCCTATAATTATTGTCTATTAATAAAAATATCTTTGACTAATATAACTGACAGCTGACGACAGTGGGTAAATAATCAGAACTGGGAAATTACAACTCAACGTCTGTATTGTTGCACGAAAGCAGAGTTGGGTAGTATCTGAATTTTTTGTGCATATTAGACTGTGTCAGTTCATCGAGATATTTCGAGTTCAAGATACAGCGAAACCTCTCATAAGACAATTTTAGTGGGGGGTTCTCTTAAAGCCGGTTTTTCGCGAGAGGAGAAATTGATGCGCAGTGACCGTTTGCACATGGCGGTCTATTTCAAAATAATGTTGGAGTTTATTGGAAATTATGTTAGAAGAAATAAAGAGATGAATATAAAAAATAGTAGAAAAATTACAGAAAGTAATCATAAATTTCTTTCTTGCATTTTGTCCATACCCAAAATTAGCCTTATGTTTATGCTATTGTGCTTTGATAGGTTTTGACAATTCTTTCTGTTTACATTCTCAGCCATATGCACCGCATGACGTAACTGCGCATGACGCAATATGTATCTAAAGTTTTAGGGAAGGGAAACACGATAGGGGAAATTTGTCTTATTAGAGGTTGTCTTATGAGAGGTTCGCCTGTATAACGTCAGAGGCCTGGAGAGACAACAAACAGACAATACAATGTTATTCTTACGGAGAAGAAAATTTGTTTCCATTTTCATCAATTTTATTCATACTTTAAACACGGAAAACGCTTGT